TATATATTTGTATATACATTTACAAGTACATAAGTTACAAGTACATGTATTTTACATATAGGTTACAGGCAGTAATATAAGTTACACAGTAACTTAATATAAGTTACAAGTACATAAGTTACAAGCACATTATATACTATATATTATATATTAGTTATTATACTTCATTTAGTATCTTCATTAGTATCACATTTGAAAATCTCTTTTTAATATTGCGAAATTATTGTGGAATTATGTCAGCTTATTTCATCAATTTTTAAAGACATAAATAGAATCAATATCTTAAATTTTCATATTCTGCTGATGATAATAACGACTCTTCCAGGCAAAAGGAAATGACTCAAGATTACTACGAGTATTTTTCTCTAAAGTAATCGCGGCCATCTTAATTTCTCGCCAATCTTCGTGACGTTAACGTTGACAGCATGTTCCCGAGTATATACATACGGGAATTAAAGTTCAAGCGTGGTATCCACAGATTCAACATTGATAACTGAAACGGAAGAATATGTAAATATAAATTTTCAGAAATAACATCAGGAACGAGCTCTGTATTGCAAATCTCCTCGTTTTTATCGCTCACGTGCAATCTGCGCAAACATTGCATGCCAGTTTTTAATAATCGAAATTCGCAAGCATCGAGAAATGCTAAAGTGAAACGTTCTTTTTGGTATTTTATAGCATTTCACCAAAATCTCGTGTTTATATCTCGAGCTGTTAGGTTAGGTTAGGTTATGCTAGGTTAGGTATAGATTATACCATCCATTTCACTGCCCCCTTTTTTAATAAATAAATACTGACAAAATAAATAAATTTTGATACATTAAGTATTTTTACAATTGAAGTGTTGAGTTCAAAAATGCAATGTTTATAATCCTTGTTGTAAAATAAAAAATGCAATTTTACCTTTCATTTTAATATTTAAATAATATTATAGTAAAAGAGACTACACAGATGTATATTCTCTCAAATAGGATTATCCCGTCTTACATTATCATCTTAATATTACCTTGAACACCATTAGCAAATTGCTATTTCAATATTTTGCAACCAACTCACGTTCATACATTTTCATAGCTGTGTAATTAACTAATCTATCAAGTCAAGTAAAAATGTAAGAGAGAGATAACTATAATAATTAATTCCTATCTACTATAAGGTGAGAAAAGCATTTGTTACATAATTTACTCTTTACCTAAAGCTCTAGTCATAACCTCATCATAACCTCATCATAACCTCGACAACAGTCCTGAATTGTGCCAAAAATGGCGAACGTAATTCCAGTCTGGTGATATTCGGCGTCAAATATAGTTGAAGCAAAAAAATAAATGGCACGTGAATCAGGATCGGTTAACTAGGTAACAATCGGCCAAGATGATCCGTTCCAAGATGGCGGCGTGGAAGTTCGGTACATCGACTCGCGCTGAATCGATCGAAGCGCCACCATAGTTCCCGCCAACCGCGAGGCGAACTACGTCATGTTATATAATGTGTTAATTGCGCAAGTTAATTCGAAACTTTCGTCGCCCAGCCCTCTTACGTCAGGTACGATTTCAACGACCACGGCGACGATTCGATACAGATGGATGATCGTGACAATTGAGAATCGCGAGTCGTGTAACTCGACTCGAGGACGCTTGCGAAACTGAGGGCTCTTTATGAATGGCGGCGTTGCGATTTCTTCCACTAATTGGTGGTACACCGCTTGCATAAAGTTTGCAATACACTTCTCACTGTTTACTCGTATCTTAACTGTCATTAGTTTCCATTCCTGTATTATGGAGCCTTAACATCTTAAACACAAAGTTTCTCACACGGTAATAACCGATTTTAATAAAATTTATGCACCATAAATGACGTTTCTGTATTTTTTTTTAGTCAAAATTTGTGAGTTGAGATATTTTTAGATTCTGAAATGTATCTAGCAGAATTTTGATACAATAGCGATATTTCATTAAGTATAATATGAATTTTACTTTCACACAAATGGCAGTCACAAAATAATTTCAAATATTGGAAAATAAAATAATATTGGGAAATAAAATAACTTATTCCACGTTCAAGTAATCCCTGAATTTTCCAAGATGTATATTAATATAAATTAATAAACTCTATATCATACACAAAGAAACAAATTAAACAAACAATTTCCTGTTTAAGATACTCGAATGTGACTCATTAATATTCTCTCATATCGTATCATTTATATTTCCACAAATATTCATTTAACAGGTTTACTTGCCTCACTCTACAATACACACTGTGTTTAGCTAATCAACAGATGCGTAACGCGTTCGCTGCTCCTGACGCATACGTTGCGTTGACTCAATTACCCAAGTAATATTACTGTTGCAACTCGTAACTCTCGTATTTCAGAAAACATTTCTCAACGCATAAAGCAAACATTCTCCAGAAACAAAATCCTTCCCAACCTGCAGCACCTATACAGGTTTAAATCTACTATTAACCTATGATAGTTTAATGTAATTAAACGTCTCGGACGAGCGAGCATTCGTCGAACGAATATACCCCGATAGACTCCGTTAGCGGTTCACCGTTCCGACGCCAGATGTCGGGGGAAGGATTGGAAGCTGGGCGATATCGCTGCAGCATAGTTTCTTTTCATCGAACTACGCGAGTTCCCTTTGTCCTCGACGATTTTTGTCGCGTCAAATCAGAGTCCCCGGCGAGAGTTATCGCCGAGGAGAGCTCTGGCCGCGTACACCGTTGTGGCAGAGAGCAACAGATACAGTTATCCGCCGCTGTCTTCCTAACGAAGATGACAGCGTTTCTGCTTGCGCGCGAGCCCGTGCTCACGCTGTTGAACGCCCCTGACCTTACCAGAAGCAGGTTCGTTGAACCGTTGAATACAGAAATGTCAATTGATCGTACGATTGCATCAAACGGTGTCGACACGTGAATTTACCTTTTTAAATGCATCGTCCAGTGTTTATTTGTCTATGGTAAATAGGTTAAGCGAATAGGAGGCAGAGGTCGCCTGTGTCTTGTGACGTTCTAAGAAGTGGATAAGTGAGGTCAGAGTAGGGGACTGATGGTTAGGTTGTATTGTAATTTACCAGAGATTAGTTGATCTATTTAACTGGAATTTTGTTTGCTTGTCAATATAACACAGATATAGGGGATTTCAATCGGTTTTGGGGTAAGAAATTATTGGAAATATGTACTCTAAGTGGATTGTTAGAAAGACTAAAATATAATGTTACAAAAATTGATTAATAATTTAGTTGTAAAATTACAGATAAAAGCATCTGCTGTGATTTAATTCTTTGCATAATGGAACACCATAACCTAATAAAATTGGTGTTATTTCCTAACTCTCTTTACTCTATGTTCAATTAAATTTGTACGCAAAAATTATATATGTAATTTAGCTTCTAAATTTTTTGGAAAATTAACCCTTTGCAATCGAGAGACGCTCTTTAGTCGCCATTTAATAAAATTGCGAAGATCGATATTAATTAATACATCAAATTTTAGATAATGTAACGGTGTGCGAAATAATTCTACGTATTAATTATTATACGATTTCTTATTTACTGCTCAACAAAATATAGTCAGCTTTATAGCAGAAAATTTTAAATCCATGAATTCCACAGGATAATTATTTTATGTACATTAACAGGATGACCGCCATGGTTGTCATCAGTGACCGGTGCTTGACTCATCAGTGGGGTCATGGTGATCATCATTGTCTGTCAATATTAATTTTTCAAATTTATATTTGTTCTATTCTAAACAATTTTTGAAAATTTTAACAACATAAATAAATACAGAATTTTGAATAGAAGACATTAATAATTTGCACCATTTTCTTTTTTTTTGCCATATTGTTTGATAATTCATCATTATATCATAAGAATAATAGAAATTTTATCGTACCATATAAAAAGTACGTGAGAGTCAAAGTGATAAAAGAAAAAGTGATTAAAACAATTACGTTGGATACGAAATTTTTAACCAAAAGTTTAGAAATGGTCGTTTAAATCGTAATCGTAGAATCCATTTGCAATTCGATGGTGTTTGATGACCTAACGTGGAAATTCGTGTTTATGTTTGCAGGCAACGGAAGCACTCGGCCAAAAATGTCGCCGACGGAGCCGTAATTCAACGATCTTGGTAGGAAGGAAGCCGAGGGACGTGAAGAAGTGGCGGACAAGGAAGAAATGGCGTCCACCAGCGGGCACAAGAGGAACGGCTCGAGCTCGAGCATGTTCGCCCACAAACGCACCGAGTCCGGCGGCGGTTTTATCGGCCACAAACGCTCGGAGAGCGGTCACAAACGCGCCGAGAGCATATCCAGTGCCTTTGGCCACAAACGATCCGAGAGTGGCCACAAGAGGAACGAGAGCAGCGGCGGTGGTTTCGGCCACAAAAGGTGATTTTCGCCTTTTCGAGTGCACCTCTATTCTCGTCCGGCTAGGTCGAGGGCCTCTGCTCCTTTTCCTCCTTTCTCTGCCTCCTTTCGTCTTTTTTATCACGAGTCTATGGAATACACACCGGCTCTTATTGTTCGAAAGAACACAGCGGCGACGCTGCTGCCACCTAGCGAAATCTCATGCTTACTATGCGAATATTTCACTGTTGCTCGTTCACGCATCTTTGTCCCCTTTTGGTAACTTTATCTGCTCGATAGGCAGTTGATCTTTCTCGTATATTTTTGAGGATTTTCTTTCGTTTAGGGTGCCTTTGGTACTTATTAATAACTAACCGTAATCGTGGGTGTAACGGGCAACTCTGGAACTACCAAACTAGTCAAAACAATTGAAAATATATGTAGTTCTATCTAATAAAATTAATTCTGACATCTATTGAAATAAAAATAATTGAAACAATATTATAATTTTATATACATGATAATATTTGTTTATTTATTAATTTTTATTAATTAATTTATATATGTACTATATTATATGTACTATTATGTACTATATGTACTATTATATGTACTATTATATACTATATGTACTATTATATGTACTATTACATACTATATGTACTATTATATGTACTATATAAATTAATTAAGTACATATATAGGTTAGTAATTTCAGTTTTTAAGTTCACTGTAATTTAAGGAAAATAATTCTGGTTGCTAAATATTCTAATAATTGATAAAATTTTAATAGTTCAATTAATGAATCAATTAATAAATTAGATTTAACTGATCAATAATATCTTAGTGATAGTTTATTTTTGGTGTCACTTTAATTATTATGATTATGTATGTTGAGTATATTTAGGTTAGGTTAGAAGACGGTAGTTTCAGCGTTAACATGTTGGATGTTTATGACGTTGAATGGTTGGACAGGTGTTTGAAGTGTATTTGGTTTCTGGAGTGTTAATCTTCGCGGTTGTAACTATTTTAGCCTGACATAGGTGATTATGGATGATGTATCACGTTGAGGTGCTTCGCGTTGATCCCTTTATCCCCTGCTTGAGTTTATGGGGAATAACGGAAATGTCTGACAAAATTGGATACTTTGCTTTTTCAAGGGGAAAATGTATTTTATGTCTAAAGATCAAGGAAAAACAGGAACAATATTTTTTTGTAGATTTTCTGATTTTTATTTCACTTGGTAGCTGGAGAGGATATTTTTAAAACTAGAAAATTTTTAAAAATGGATGCTAAATCTATAAGACAAAGATATAATTTATATTTTTTTTAAATAATCACAAATTTACAAATTTTATCTCTTAGTAAATCTGAAAATATTATATATAATAAAAAGTATTATTTTCACTGGATAGAATAACAATACCTCTAAAAAAATTGTTATTTATCATTTAAATCAAAATAGTATAATTTTTCGCATAAAAATGAACCGAAAATGAAGAACAAAATTTTTCGATAAAAGTCCTCCTTTCCGAGGAAATTCGATTTAAAAATTCTTTGGCGCGCGTCTAAGATTATGAAACTTTCCGACGACCAAGGTTTCCACCGATATTTGAATTTTTCAATATTCCAAAGCAATTGTTCGTTTATTATCACTTTTATTACTACGTTAATCGGTTTCGCACTTTCATTACCTTGCCCACTGAAACTATTGCGCGCCCACCCGCGCAGTTTTCAAACTCAATTTTCTCGAAGACGGAGCTTCCTATCAAAAAATTTTATTCCATATTTTCGATTCAGTTTTACACGTAGATTCACTTTGTTTCAAATTTGTCCATTTATCTCTCACTGTGTGCATTTCTGTGACGCTTATTAACCGTAGTGCCTCTTCTCTAAAAACCACAATTTTCATTAAAACACAGCTAACAGAAGAATATAAAAAATAAAATTAAAAGTTATTATAAAAAATTAATAAAAGAATACGAGACACCTCGTTTGTTACCGCCCACGTCGAGGCATAAGCAGATAGCATAACCGCGCGTATGCGAGAGGTTGGATCCTGTGAGAGGTTAATATTTAAAATCAGGGAAAATCTTAGACGTGGATATGCAATTTTCGAACACAGCATTGCAGAGATATCCCATCCAGAGAGTGGGAAAGAATTCAGTAACACCAAGGGAAGGGTCTTGTTACACTACGGCGTAATATGATCCTTCGACTAGGAACCCTACGTGTAATGTTTAGATAAGTACAGGTTCAGCGTTCAGAGGCTTCCAGGATTCTGTTTGTCTTCTCCCTTCTTGTTCGTTAACGAGACAGAAACCGAGAAATTGCGTTCGCGACCACACAGCTAACTTCGTGTCTCGTGGCATTCGCGTTTTGTTGTCCAAGATTATTGGAGATAATGCAGAAGTACAATGCGCTGCAAAATTCTTGGACCACCCAGTAAATGAAACTATTCCTGTTTAACGAATGAAATATAATTTATTATCTTTAGATTTTTAAGATCATTGCCTTTACAAAATCTTTAATTTATTTTAAAATTAAAAATTTGAAGCTAAAAATTTACATAAAAATTCTATGAACCAATGAATAGCAAGGATAAATGTCACTTTCTTTCCTTTCTTACTTAAATTTTTCTAAAAGTCTCATGAATAAAAATTGATTCTTTGTATATATTAATATTACTATTTTTATTAATAATTATCGTTATTAATATTATTTAATATTTCTTTTAACCCCAGGAAAAACAAGAAATAAATAACGTAAATTCTGTGAAACTTATTTTCACACTGTTATCCACTTCAGCTTAAAGTTGATCCTCGTGAAAAATGGAAGAGATAGCAAGATCTAATTAACCTTCACTGTCTCTAGGTTGCAATCCTCTTAACTTTTAACTATGAAGAAATCTATTATCTTCAGTTTGCTCATCATATGCTAATGTCCTAAGAGACCCACAATGAACAAATCACCGACGTATCACAAAAATAACCACATTCCTCTGCCCAATACGTAGTACAAAATTAACCTCACAAAGCTACTAAATAAATAGCACAAATTTATCCAAAGAAATAATTCGTTTATCACTAAATGAAATATCGATTCACTCGCATTTAACCTTCGAACTTTCCACGGTTTGTAACCGTCCCAGTAGATCTGTTTATAGTTTTTCTATGGCGGGTACGTGTGATGGATGACGAAATCTGATACGCCCCCTACTCATGACCACCGGTATCCCAATGTCCCGAGCCACGTCGGTAAACGTCGGGACCCGAGGTTTCCATTTATCAACTCATCGACGAAAGTCAATGGAAAAACAATTTCTGGTCTTTTAGTGACCAAAGTTCTAAATCTAGATGCTCGATTTAGAACGTGTATTTAGGATAATTGTGTGGACTCGTTATCGAAGTTGATGGAACGAGGGAGCCCTAATGGATCGGTTCCAAATTACATGCTGACCTTCCGTTACGTTTCCAGGTCCGAGTCTGGCAGCAATTACCATGCTGGACATCGGAGGAACGAAAGCATGTACGCCATGACTGGGCTGTACGCCGAGAGCGCGGCGACGGCGACCGATGAAACCACAGACCCACTGCAGGCAACCGGTAGCAGACTGACTCATGACACCGTCATCAGGTGTCACAGTAGAAATCCCAGTTCTGGCCTCGTGGACCATAGGTGAGGATGATAGACTCATACAGGATGAGGAAATATTTTTCTAGATCTTGGTAGGAGGTGATAGGAATTGTAGATCTTTGTCCTTGCGAGGGATGGTCAATTTATTTGGGTAACCTTTTAGGCTTGCAAAGAATTTGGATTTGAATTTGGACTTTTGAATTTGCCACGCGTTACACATGCAAGGAAATCTTAGTAAGGGAAAATTGTGATTGGGTAGTAAGATTTTTATTTAAATACACCTGAATTAAATTTTTTATTAAATATACTTTTGGAAGAAATTTGTATATGCCATTTTAGTATGGGAAAATTATGACTTCTATTTAAATACACTTGAATTAAATTTCTTATTAAATATACTTTTGGAAGAAATTTGTATCTGGAATTTTAATATGGAAAGATTGTGATTGAATAGCAAGATATTTATTTAATTACACTTGAATTAAATTTCTTATTAAATATACTTTTGGATGAAATTTGTGTCTTGATTTGAATTAACTTAATATGTTATATAATGTCATTAGATTGTATCTAAGCAGTAGTACAAAATTGTAACTATGTACATAGTAGGATCTATATGTATTTAGTTTTACAAGAGATTTATGATTTGGATGCAGATATTATTTAACATTTTGATAAATATTATATTAACTATGTTATATACATATAATATAAGCCCATAATGCCTAGTTATTAATTTTTTCATATTATAAACAAAGAAAAATAATAGGATTTTTTAATGAAGTATTTTTTAAATTTTAGTCTCTAGTTTAAATAATTATTTGACTTTAAATAAGGAAGAAATCACTAATTGCAAATTAAAATCTATTTGAATCTTAAATCTATTAAAAAAAATTGACATGATAATTAACATTTATAACAATTATTCAAGTTTCCAATAATGGAAGAAATATAAATAGAAAATGAATGGCAGCAAAATAAGTATTTTAAACGGAAAAGTGATACATCTGACAGACTTGAACTCAAGTTGTACTACTTCATTCGAATGAAGTATGATGTCAGTACATACTTGCACAACCTGCATATGAATCATGATATTTATCACTTATTATTATGCAAATTATCTTCACAATTACTTTAACTTTTAATATTTTCCAATTCTATTAAACACTTCACTCCTTTATTACTACCTCACTTTATTGGCTATAATTTTTACAATTAAATAATTTAGTATTACATAATACAATACATAGCACGATTAAATAATTCCGCTTTGTTTACTACTCAAACGCAATAAAAAGAAAAATTTGTCCTTTTGAAAATTAAATTCCGATCAATTACAATTAACTCGAGTTACGCAACGTTATTGTACATTATGTAAATAACAATGGAACAGAGGAAATTGTATCAAAGGAAACGAGGAGAAGAGAAAGTAGAGGCATTAAGAAGTGAGCCGTGAAAATGTTGCGGTGTTCCTTCCTATTGCGAAATCGAAGATTTTTGCAGCACGGACAGTCCATCTGAGAATTTACATAAAAGAATGGCTTCTAAACGACCGTGGTAAAAATTGCAAGGTGTAACCCTCGAAAAGAGAAGTGAAAGCAGCAGGTTGACCATGGCATATATTCGTGAAATAGATCCTTTTGCAACTTGTTACACTTGTCATGGAAACATCCTATTACGAATCCTCCCATTACAAGATTTATTCGCCTGTGAAATTAAGCACAACGTTGTCACAGAATATTTGAAAGTAGACAGAAACGTGCTGCAAGAATGTTCATGGGGATATATTACTTTCTAAGGGTGTGTTAGGTAGAGTAAATAAACCTAATCTTCTTCTGAATGCACTATTGTATATATTACAATTCTTGAAGTGTTTCAGTCCTTTGGAGACATGTAGCATAATACAATATTACAAATTTTTTATTCTTTACTCCTTAATGATGAATAAAATGTAAATTAGTATGTAGCATAAGGAATTGAAATTAAAATTTTTTTGGTTTGTCTTTGTTAATAATGGAGATTGAATATTGCAATAAGAAATTGAAAATATGGAGTTACAATTTTTAATTTTATAAGTCTGAATGTTGTATACAGATTCTATTACATGTGCTAGATATTATGGTTGTAGAATGTTTGGAAAAAACTTACATATTATTATATCAATTAAATTATATGTAACTTAAATGATTGAAAATGGACTTTATAATTTTCTTAACTGCATTTATCTTGAAATTTAAGTATATTAATATGTAAATTATAAAAGTATAATTGTAGTATATAATTAATAAATGTATTATACTAAATATAATAATTGTTAGAATAGTTCTAATAGTCTAATTCTAATATGTTATGTCTCTGAAGGGTTGATCCATACACTTCTGTATTAACTTCAAACTATCTTAACTCATGTGCACGCAATCACTGTGCATCATTCAGCACAATATATTCATGCTTCTTGTTTCTTGTTCTTAAACTTTTTCAGAGATTTTATCATCAAATGTCACAGCA